ATATTTATAATATTTTTATTGATGTAATAACTGAATAATTAACATGAAATAAAACAAAATTTAATTATAAATACCTATTTAAATCCATATCGTATCCACCACGTACTCTATTAAGACATTACGGAACTTGATCGAATTGTATTATATGTACAGTCGATAAAAGGTAATCGTACAATTGAGTAAGATACGGCGTTAATCAAGTGATGAGTTTAAATAAAATTTTAAAATCATAACACAATAATTATAACAGTCAACAAAATTATGTTTGAAAAGAAATAAAACGCGAATCGTTTGTGCGAACAATTGTCAGCCATAACATTACCGTAAATAAGCGCAGACGCACTGACGACAAATCTCTTACGTGTTATTTCGAACATCCGTTTCGTAAAAAATCATGAAAATCATTTAATGGCACTTGCGCATTTGTGACTACGATATACGTGATACATCAGATCATTTTGGAAATAGAGTTAAGTTAGCGGAAGAATATAAATAATTGCTGAGAGGGCTCCGCAGTCAAAAGACTAAAGTAAGTGACATGAATTGTGTCAGCAATGGCAGATGCAACTCCATTAGTATTTTGACGAGACCTACGATCTTTACTTGCCAAACACACCTAATGAACTTTGTTCATCGTGTAATTTTCGATTAATATTATCATCAAATATTATTCCGTATGTGACAGTTTGATGTTTTCTGCAAGAAACATTTATTAATCTTATTTGTATTTTATCAACTTTTACAGTTCTATCGCGGACATATGACTTCCGATTTTGTTCATGGATACATAATACGTCAGAAAATGCTAATAGATTCAGAAAATACGATGTTAATGATTGTGAATGAAAATTGCACATTTATATGAACAATATTCGTGTTTAATTTTTATTATTATATGATATTTACATTAGATGTTAGTGTCGTTACAGTATGCTTATAAAGATTGTCAGTGACTTTTAGAATTGTTTTTCTTTCTTTACAATACTGTCGTCAGTGTTAACTGATAAAAAAATATAGCTTTGAACGTTGCCTTACGTCAATATAAATTAAATCAAATAGTTTTATTTTTATTTCTTAAATTATATAAGAATTTTTTAAATTTTTGAACAATTAATCTGTGAATTTTTATGACAGATATTTTTTAAGTTCTTGTTATTATCAATTACATTTTCTTTAAGAGTTCTCTAATATGAGTACTACAAGGGAACAAGCTGGACCATCTAAACCATGGGATTCTACTGCAGAAGAGAAAGAAAAGGATAATCGAACATTTGAATGCAATATTTGTCTTGATACTGCAAAAAATGCAGTTATTAGCATGTGTGGTCATTTATTTTGGTAAATTTATTATTAATGATGTATTTATTAATAATATATAATGTATATATGTATTATATTTCAATAATAAACATACATTTTTATATTATTCAGTTGGCCTTGTCTGCACCAATGGTTAGAGACACGTCCAACAAGGCAAATGTGTCCTGTCTGTAAAGCTGCAATTAGCAAAGATAAAGTTATTCCATTGTACGGACGTGGAGATACAAGGCATGAAGATCCAAGGTAAATTATATTTTTATTTTTATAAATTAAATGCATAATTATTTAATATTTCAAAAATTAAATTTTAAAGATTATTGATTATTATTATTGATTCAGAAATAATGTTCCACCACGTCCTGCTGGGCAAAGAACAGAACCCGAAAATAATATTGGATTTTCTAGTTTTGGTTTTGGAGATGGTTCTTATATGTCATTTGGTATCGGGACATTTCCATTTGCATTCTTTACATCTACTTTTAATTTTGGAGAAACACGACCAAGTGCAGGTATTTTTTCTTTATAAATTAATTTTATATATAATGCTATCTAATAAAATTGAATTTAATTATGTATTTTTATATAGCTGCTAGAGGAACACCACAATATGAAGAAGAACAATTCCTTTCAAAAGTATTTCTATGGGTGGCTTTGATATTTGTTTGTTGGCTCTTGATGGCGTAACATTTTGTTAAACCATATTATTTGCTCCGTATCTTGTAACCCTGCACCACTTGCTGAATTGATTCATTACATTTTTATTAATACATCGATCTTTCCTCGTTTGTGTAATCGTTGTTACTCGCTACAGTAACTCTATCTGCTTGAATAAACAAACGGATTTTGTTATAAGTGTAATAACATTTTTACTTGTATATACACTTTATTTTTAATTTTTTGTGTTTTTATAATAAAATGATTAGTTTAAATGATTAGTTTAAAATAAAAGAAATAAATTTATTATCTAAATATAATATCACTTATATTGTTATTAATCATGTAAAAATAATATAGGTTATTTTTTTTAATTGTATTTTATATAAACACGTATATTCAAGCAGGTAAAACTTTTCTGATTTTAGAATTTTTGAGATACTAAACCATTTATTCTTATAATATTTATGTATATAAATATAAATATTATTACTTTTAGACTTATAAGATATATATCATAAGATATATCTATACATTGCATATATGATTAGTTTAAAATAAATCTATTAGATTTATTATATTATTATGGACCTATGGTTTTATTATTATTAATTATTAAAATAAACAGTGTATATAACAATCTAGTTATTAAGACAGTTTGATAACAAATGCAAACAAAATGGAATAAAAATGAATATATATATATATATATATATATATATATTATATATTTATTGTATATAAATATATAATGTCATCATTGAAAATATAAGATAATAGATTTATCTTATTTATTTTTCTGCTTTTACTTATATTGCGGTTGTTATGGAAATAAAAAAAAGAAAGGCAATTACAAATCCGAAAAATGACGATCATAATTAAAAAAAAAGTAAGGTTCGTTTTATATCCTAATTTAATGATTGTTACATTAAATCGAAATTAACATTCCATAATATACTGGAAAGTTAATTAATTTAAAATTAACTTGAAAGTGAAATATTTATAATTAACATTTATAATTAAACATATTCCGTATTAAAAAAAAAATACTATCGACATTATTCATTACAATATAATTTGTAATTTGTTTAAAGTTAAATATTGTAAATTGTTTAAAAAACTTATTTAATATATTAATATTAAAATAAATTAGAAGCAAAGAAATACAAGTAATGTGTTTTTAATAATATTCCTTATTTTTTTGTAGTTATAGATTTTATTAAAGACAAGTATATTCATTCAGTAATACAAATAATATGAATGAAGTATAAAATAATATTGTTGTGTTAAAGATAAAATTATTTTATCTATATTGATAAATATATAATATTTATATATTAAATATATAATATTTATATCTTAATTCTACTTAAATTATTTAATGTATATAATTGTTATAATATATATTGATTTATACAATGTTTTCTTTTCAATTTTCTTTTAATTTTATTAAGTTTAAAAAATAATTAAACTTAACACAACTAAAACTTTTATGTAAAAAAGTCCAAGCATTTCATAATGATCAATTTTATCATATTATAGATCTAAAAGTTTTATCACAGATTGCAGCTCCAATAGCGATATAATGCTCTCTCATTTATGTGAACAGAAGGTGAGGTATTGAAAGATAATAGTTTATGCATCAAAAGATCTCTATTACTATTTTGCTTCAATTAGATATGAATTATGAACTATGTAATTAAGTATATACACATATATGTATAATATTTTCTTTATCTTATATATATTTTAGGCTTATATTATAGTTATTAAATTGTAAATAGAAAATATTTATTAAAGAACATTCAATTTTTAATTAAAGAGAATAGTGCTTATTTCTATTTATAAACAAACAGAAAAGTTTAATTTGTATTGTTTTTTTTTTTTGTTTCATTTTTTGCTGTCTTTTTTATAAACCCTTTAGAAATTAATAAATTACATTCTTCCTGAAAAATAAAAACTAATTATCTTATATTATATATATATTACCTTATATTGTATCTCTGCTTTATTATTAAAGATAACAAATTCAGGAAACACATCTGGAATATCTTTAAATTTAAGATTATTACTAAAATAATTTATAAGGATTTATATAATTCTTATTCTTTTAAAACATTGTATTTTTTTCAATTATTACTTAAATTAGAATAGAAAATTAAATAAAATATTTTTACTAAATGTATATATATATAATGAAGCAATATAAAAAGATCTATATATAATAAAAAAATGAAAGATTAAATATAAAAGATAAAAGTCTAGATATGATAAAAGAATGAAGGCTTAATCAAATCAAATATTTCATAATCAAAAACTTCATGTAATATTAATACTAATTGTTTATTCTTGAATATTATAAATAAATGTTCTCGAATAATTAAAAAGAAAAAACTGATTCTTTAATCAGTTATCATATTTTATATTATGCTATTAATAATTTTTATTTAAGGATAATAGAATATTAGTAAATAAATCTTCAAAGATAAATTGTTTAATATTTGCGAACCAGATTAAACGACTATCAGTACAGCTCTGAACGAAGTTTTTAATATTTTGAATTATTTTGATTTGATTTAAACTCATAATATGTTAATATAATTATATTTCTGTTAGTTAAAATAAATATATTTAATACCTCAATTTTTGCAGATGCGTAATATTTGTTTCTTGAATTGACATAAGAAATTGTAAAAATGATTTATTTATTTACAAGAAAGAAAATGACAGTTACTATAAGAGCCATGTTTATTTCATTAAAACGGAAATTGATATATAACATTTTCTATATTCAATATAATAAATTTTTCTTAAAAAATTCTTGATATATCTTAAATTTAAAATAAATATCTTTATATCTTTATATAAATAATGTTCATTCAATAAGAAAATATTATATTTAATTATAAATTCTGTTTATTAAAATTTATTTTTCATTAAAATTATTTTATTCATATATTTAATTTTTTTTATAATTTAAATATTTTGTAATATATAAATATAATTGTAATTCATATATATTTTTATAATTTCATAAAATGTTTTCTATATATATAAATAACATATATTTAAATTTATAGCAAAAACTAATAAGTTTTTCAACTTAAATGTCATGCGTAGTAAACACGTCCTGTGTGTGTGAAAATGGCGCTTTCTTGTGCAAGTAAGTTTTTTCTTTTTCATTTAATTATTTTTTATTTAAAAATATAAAAATTTATATTAAGTTTTTATTGATGATACCATATTATAATAATAGAAATGAATTAGTTTTTTTTGTAATAAAATTTGATGCATACCGGCAAGAATTGAACATAACCTAGAATCTCTGCATTATATTTCATATAATTCTCTGAGAAAAATATTTATTTTCAGTTTCTAATGAAGTCCCGGAGCATCCGGTTGTATCTCCAGTATCTGGTTCTATATTTGAAAAGAGATTAATTGAAAAATATTTAGCCGAAAATGGAGTAGATCCTATAACTGGAAAGGAATTAACTGCAGACCAACTTATTGATATTAAAAGTATATTATTTTTATTTCTTTAAAAAATTTATTTATATTATAAAATATATCTATTAAATTTCACTATTGAATGTTAAATTATCAATAATATTATTATTTTATAGCCACTGCAATAGTCAAACCTAAACCACCAAGTGCTACTTCAATTCCAGCTATATTAAAAATTTTACAAGATGAATGGGATGCTGTTATGTTACATTCATTTACACTTAGACAACAACTTCAAACAGCTAGACAGGAATTATCTCATGCATTATATCAACATGATGCAGCATGTCGTGTAATTGCTAGATTAACAAAAGAAGTAACTGCTGCTAGAGAAGCTTTAGCTACTTTAAAACCTCAAGCAGGAATTGTTCAGGCTACTACCATTCCACAACCTGTAAGAATAAAATTCTATTAATTTTATTTATATATTGTAATATATGCTTATAAACTATATGTTATAGGCACTTGCAGTGGAAGCTGGTGGTACAGCTGCTCAGCCTATGGAGCAAGCTGGAATTACTGAGGATGTAATACAAAAACTTCAGGAAAGAGCCACAGTACTCACACAGGAAAGAAAACGTCGTGGACGTTCAGTTCCTGAAGATTTACTTCCACAAGATAGTATTCGTGCATTTCAAACACTTGCATCACATCCTGTAACATTTTTTTTTTGTATTTATATAATAAATATTTGTTTATTTCCATGTATTATTATTAATTTTATTTATTTATATTTTTAAGGGTCTCCATTCAGCTAGTGTTCCTGGTATACTTGCACTTGATATCCACAGTGCAGATACTAGTAAAATTTTAACAGGTGGTGCAGATAAAAATGCCACAGTATTTAATAAAGATACAGAACAAGTTGTTGCAATATTAAAAGGACATACTAAAAAGGTATAAATTATTTATTTTTAATTCTGAATATTTTTTGATGTTTAATATTGTTATAATATTTCCAAGGTTACTAGAGTAATTTATCATCCAGAAGAAGATATAGTAATGACTGCATCACCTGATACTACAATACGTATATGGAATGTAGGAACTAGTCAAACAACATTGCTATTGAAAGCTCATGATGCTCCTGTGACTGGACTATCTTTACATCCAACAGGGGATTATTTATTAAGTTCATCTTTAGATCAACATTGGGCATTTTCAGATATACGTACTGGTAGATTATTAACTAAGGTATATTTATAAAAAAAATAATAATTTTCAGAAATAAAATTTTATAATTTTAAAGTTCAACATATTATATACGTTTGTTATTTTAATATGTTATTAGGTTGCTGGACAAGTCAGTCAACCTTTAACCACAGCGCAATTTCATCCTGATGGATTGATCTTTGGCACTGGTACTCAAGACTCTCAAGTGAAGATTTGGGACTTAAAGGAACAATCAAATGTAGCTAATTTCCCAGGTCATTCAGGTCCTATCACAGCAATTAGTTTTTCTGAAAATGGTTATTATTTAGCTACTGCTGCAGAAGATTTTTGTGTGAAACTTTGGGATTTGCGTAAATTGAAAAATTTCAAAACTCTTCAATTAGAGGAATCATATGAAGTTAAAGATATTTGCTTTGATCAAAGTGGAACATATCTGGCAGTAGCTGGAACAGATGTAAGGTAAGAACTATATCATATGAAATAGTTAAGTTCAATTATATTAGAATTAATTCTTTATCTGTTGATATTTTTATTTTTAGAGTGTATTTGTGTAAGCAGTGGCAAGAACTGAAAGTGCTTAATGATCATACAGCAGCCGCAACTGGTGTTCGTTTCGGAAAACATGCACAATATATAGCATCGACTAGTATGGATAGAACTTTAAAACTTTATGGATTACCTTAAATAATTAGTAATAAAAATATATTAATTTAAGAACAAATTAAATTAGAATTTGTAGTATAAGTTTATTATGAAAGTAATGACAAATGGTTTTAAGAAAGATCATTTGATTTATATTTAAGAATTACTATGAATTCTTTAAAAGAATTTTAAATATAAGACACTTCATAACAATAAATTTGAGTGCAGTTATTGTATAAATATTTTTTTAAAATTGTTATAGATAATGCACTCGTAATTGATATTTTTCTTGTGTTAACTATTTTGATTGAAAAGTTTAATGATATCAATGTGATTCAAATTAATTATTCAAATTTTTATACATCTATTCACTTAATTTTGAAAACAAAAGTTTTAATTGAAAGATATTTACAAATTAAATTTTATATTTATATTTGATTTCAAGTTAATGATGTGGATTTTAAAATTAATTTCTTTACACTAATAATATAATAATAATAATAATAATAATAATAATAATAATATTTTATATAATTCTTTAAATTTTGATTATAGATTATTAATTTATCAAAAATGAGTAAATAAATATTAAATTACATTAAATATACAATTTAAATTTGATTATATGTATATTATGAATTGTTGATGAATTTCTTTTCAATGTTCATTTAAACAAAGTACAAAATATTAAATAGTATATAGTATTATAAAATTAACATTATTTTTGTAGAGAAAATGTAAAACTTTTTCGTCTGACATGTTAACTATTATTCAGGATATCATTTAAAATAATGAAATACAATTTATTCGAATATATAAAACAAAATGTCTCATAATTTGCAATTTTTGTATACTTAATATATTTAAAAAAAAAAATGAGTAAAATATGTTTGCAATAAAATTATATTATAGCAAATCATAAACTAATAATCGGCAAGTATATAATTTGATAATTTACTTTGATAATTTTTTGGCGCCACTAGTCACGTGCTTTTTAACCTAACCTAATATCCTTTGTCCTCAATATTCATCCTCGAATCAAATTAATAACAATGGCCGTCGTAGTTGGCTGTCATACGGAGATATATCCAGATTATGTGATGGTGAGAAACCTGTGGCGAGTGGCAATTGCTGCCGATCGGTCACAGTGATTATAGAACGAATGAAATCAACGTGACGTGTACTACTGGAAAGGATGATTTTCTAGTGGGTGGTTGAATCGTTATGTCAACTAGAGTGACCGCGGATGACCAGCTGACAATGTTTTGTCATTAGCATAATTTAGTGCTTAGCGGGCGTTCGCGGTAAATCAAGGATGTTTAAAGCTGAAGAGCCGTCCAAAGACAGCTTCCTTCAGCAAATGAAGGCTGCCAGAGAAGAAAGAGCTCATGAAAAAGACAGAGAAGCTGCTGTCATCTTAATTCAGGCTTATATTAGGGGATGGTTGACGCGTAAAAGAATTTTGTAAGTTTTTAAATATTGTTTTTGCTGCAATTTTTAAATATTGTGTTTGCTTGCGATAGTTGTACGATTTTTTAAATAACTTTTTTAAATATAGTAAATAAAATAATTATAATTTTTTAATCACTTATCAATGTTTATTTATTCATTGATAATCTTCCATTGGCCGCTCATCTATCGGGTATATATTATAAATCTACATAATATAAAAAATTTATATTAATTTTTATATATTAATTTTTCAATATAATAATAGATCAAAGAATATGATTTTTCAGAGAAGAATTTGATACAAATTTTCTCAATGATGGTAATACAGAAACAAATATAAAGTTAAAACCTGCTTTAGATGTGTATAAAATCGTTTTTAAATTTTTGTATATATATAAAAAAGATTATGTTCAAGAAAGAATAGAAAAGCTATGTAGGTATGTATATATAAAAAATATTTATATAAAAGAGGAAAAAAAATAAGAAATTATAAGTAATTATTAAAAAATTGATAAAAATAAATATTTCAGATATTTAGTATTGACCCTAGATTCAGAATCACCAGAAATTTCTTATGTAGGACTTGTATTGAACAAAGATCGCTACATATCATGGATATCACAAATGAAAACAATATTACTTTATTGTCTGACTGGTTTAGATAATCTTAAACCAGAAAGAGTATCTGACCATAAATCCATCCATTTAAGATTACATACATTAGTTAGTTTTACATCACCAGGAACATGGGCAATTCAAAAAGTAGAAGGAATGGAAAAACTTAAAGCTGGTATGAATCAGCTTTGTGCTAACATAATGGGCCACCTAGTCAACAATGGGTTTTATCCCATTATGCAAGTGATTATCTTATTAATAGTAGTTTATTTTGTTATTTAGTATATTTATGTATTTGGAGTAGTTAATTTTCTCATTATATTTAATTTTATTTTAGGCATTTTTAGTAAAAGGATTGGGTAGAGTCGAGATTGCTTTAAAACCAATTGCACTTTCAGCAGCAGTTACATTGACATTAAGACCATTAATCTCTTCTCAGATGTCAGATAAATTGGTTTCATTATTTTTGATAAATATTTTTAGTGTACCTGCATTGATCTATCATTTAAATAATATATCATCAGTAGTATGTAATCAATAATATATAATATTAAATATTAGTTTACAGCATATAATATTTTCTTTTTTATATATTTTTAGTGTATTTCATCATTTATTACAAACAATTTATTTGCCAGAAGTTTGGAATTGTTAAACTCAGAGCAAAATTTAAGAATAGTTTTTAATGCTTTGGAAGGTAGTTATGCACTGTGTTTATTAGCTAATTTAATACAATTAGCTAATATTGAAAGAGATGAAGTGTTAAAGGAATTATACTTTCCATCTTTTACGGTATAGATTATTATATAATATATAATTATATGTAATATTAATATTTAATCATAAAAAATAAACTTCATTTTTTTTTAAATATTATAGTTTGTTGTAACAAAAATGTTGGAGGCATGTCAGCAATATGTAGTTGCAAAACAAAGTAATTTAACACATTGGCATCCTATTCTTGGTTGGCTTGCACAAAAGGTTGATACATCTTTACAAGAACCTATCCCATATGTGAAATCACAATTAGCCTGTTTGTGGACAGGAAGAATAGTTACACAATTAATTGGTAATTATATAGATTTATATTTCTATAGATACATAAGTTTTTATTAAAAATAATAATGTAAATAACAAATTTTATAATACAAATTTTTTAGGTCAACCTTTAACTGAACTTATTGAAAAAGAGATACCTCCATCAATAGAGCAACAGAGTACATCTGTTGGTACTAATATTTTTAGAAGGGCGTTTTTGGAAGCACGTACAAATAGAAATAATAATACTAAAAATTATAGAAAATTGGGAAGTGCAGAGACTACTAGAATAGCTTTAATTTGTTCCCTTTATCAAATTGCTTTACATACACTTACACAAATGAAAATGGAAATATTAACTGGTAAGTATTGATAAATACATATATATATTATATATTTATCATATTATGTTCATCATGCAATAGGTCTATGTTATCAAGATAAAATTTTATACCATATGTATCTATTTTTGGGAACATTGGGTCCTCATTGTGGTTTAAAAGCATTTTTGGATCATTTAGCTGCTAATACAAAATGTACAGCACCTGAATTTCAAATGTTGATATTATTTTCTGACTGTATGACACATTATGTTACGTAAGTATATATATTTTGTGATAATAATATTTTATAAAAAATATATTAATGATATTAATGACATATGTGTGTATTAATGACATATTTTTATTCAGAATTTTAGATGATATGGAAATGTATGAACAACAAGATCCGTTCAAACTTAGTGATTTTGTAACGATATCGTACTTTTTAAACCAGTTTTTATATAAAGCAGTGCTCAATAATTTGTTTGGTGGGTATTATAATCTTTGCATTATATTTTTTTATAACATAATTGATATTATTCTTTTTTTCAATATATAAGCGTAAGAATTAAGTGGTTTAGTTATGTACTGAAGTTTTAGATGTTCCAGACGTGAAATCGGTTCCTAATAATCCCCTGTTTACTTCTCTTCATACCCTTTTAATGGCAATCTACCGACGAGATTGTAGACGAACTTTTTGTCCAGAAGGGCACTGGTTGGCAAAGTTAAGTATTTTAAACTAAATCTTTTTCACATTTTAATATCATATTAAAAAAAAAAAAAAAAAATGAATATTTTAAATTATGAATATTTTAAAACAGGAAGTTCGAGTATCTGGTTTTTTGGCAGATTTGGAGAAAGGCAGGCGAGGTGCAGCTCTTCTCCTTTCTAAAATGCCTCATGTTATTCCTCATTCGGAACGCGTTGTACTATTTCGTAAGCATGTTGCTAACGAAAAAGCAGTTTTGGGTTTAACTGAAAGTGCTTGCAATAGTACGCCAACAACTCTTATTGTTGTTCACAGGTAATCAGATATATTTTTATTTTTTGGTATTAAAAATTGTTATATAAGAAGTTCTATATTAAAACTTTTATATGAAAAATTTTGTATTAAAAATCCTATATAGAAATAATATAAATATTTTATAGAACTCGTATAGTGGAAGACGGTTATCGCCAATTAGCGATGTTACCCTCTCAGGCACTTAAAGGTGTCATTAGAGTTCGTTTTGTAAACGAGCAAGGTCTAGCTGAAGCAGGCATTGATCAAGATGGAGTCTTTAAAGAATTTTTAGAGGAGACAATAAAGAAAGTTTTCGATCCATCTTTGAATTTATTTAAAGTCACTAGTGAAAATCGACTTTATCCATCTCCAACATCTTCTATGCAAGATAATCATTTGCAACTTTTTGAATTTGTTGGCCGTATGCTGGGTAAAGCAGTATATGAAGTAAGTATATAAAATATATAACTACGAAACTAATGTAAAAGTTTTATATTCTATAAACATTATAATTTGTAGGGCATTGTTGTAGACGTACCTTTCGCATCTTTTTTTGTTTCCCAATTTTCTGGGCAAACTGGAGGTGCATTATACAGTTGGTTAGACGAATTGGCTTCATTAGATCGAGATTTATATCGAAGTCTTACTCTTGTGAAGCATTATAAAGGTGATGTTAGACAATTAGAATTAACGTTTTCTCTTGATGAAGACGTTTTAGGTAAATTGGTTACGCATGAATTGATTCCTGGAGGACGAGCGGTGCCGGTTACTAACGAAAATAAAATCAATTATATACATTTAATGGCCCATTTCAGAATGCATATGCAAATTAAAGATCAAACAGCAGCTTTTATTAAAGGATTCCGTTCTATAATCAATCCAGAATGGTTGGCGTTGTTTTCTACTCCTGAAGTAAGATGAATAATTTTTAAAGAATTTAACATTTCTTAGGCGAATATTCTATAAAGCATCTTTATTTTTAGTTACAGAGATTAATTTCGGGTGACAATGTTCCATTAGATTTACGAGATTTAAGAAGACATACGCAATATTATGGTGGTTTCCACGATAGTCATCGTGTAGTGTGTTGGTTGTGGGATATTCTAGAGAAAGATTTTTCTGAAGAAGAAAGAGGCTTATTCTTAAAGGTACATCATTTAATATGAAAATTGTGAATAATATAATAATGTTTGTTCTCTGTTTCTATATTTTTTTTCGCGTTACAGTTCGTAACAAGCTGCTCGAAATCACCATTATTGGGATTTGCACACTTAGAACCACCATTTTCAATTCGTTGTGTTGAAGTTGGTGACGACGAGGATACGGGTGATACAATTGGTATGAAACTATAGATACCATATGTATTTTGTATACTTTTTATTTATTGTATTAATTCTTTATAAATCAGGTAGCGTAATAAGAGGATTTTTTACGATTCGTAAGAAAGATCCGCAGAATCGTTTACCTACGTCGTCTACATGTTTTAATCTCCTTAAATTACCAAATTATCAAAAGAAAAGTACCTTACGAGAGAAGCTACGTTATGCTGTTACTAGTAATACGGGTTTTGAACTTTCGTAATTTACAACTGATTTAAGGTAATTTCGATGTATATTGCTCAAAATAGCTAACGAAAATTTATACAAAGTGATTGAGTGGTGCCTGACTATTACGATCCAAATTGTCTGGCGAGATATTTTTAATTATATTATAAATTTTAAATTGGATAAAACCACAATTCACATGTCTATTATCTATAAAAAATATTTAAAAAAAAATTGTTGAAATTAAATTGACAATTCGTATAATTTCATAATATATATAAAATGATAAAATACATTTTCGTTATCATTTTGTTATTCTATTTTTATATTAATATTTCTTGATATTTCTCCTTATCAATCAAGGGGCTGACGCAGAATTAATCTGTAATTATAATGAATGAACTATTTTTTTGTATTTCCTAAAGTTTTTATGAGATTAATCTTATATGGATGTATAAATTATATTATGTATTATATTTGTCTTATTTATAATACAATAATTTTTTATGTTGGATTCACTTTGTTTTTTATAGCATTTATATAAGTCTTCTAAATTCATTTTGAAAGATTTCTCGCCAAATAGTAGATTATTATGGTGTAAACACACTGTACCTCATGAGCTTAATATTGCTAATATTGTGCGCTTGTTAGTTTATAGAAATATGAATTACTGTCTATTAAATCAATAAAATACATGAAGCGAATAGTAAATCCGAGCCCATTGGTGCCCGGTGAATAATAATAAAAAAAAAAATAAAATAAAATAAAAAGGAAAAAAAAAGAAAAAGAGAAGAAAAAAGAGATAAAAAAGAAGAAAAAAGGATCCGTAAATTTCTAAAATTTTCAAATTATTTGAAAGTTAAAGCTCTATTTTGTGGAGAGCTATTTTCTCAAGATTTTGTACAAATTTTTGACATGATATATAAAGGGATTCATATCTGTTTGGAAATATATATATGTATATATTATATCCACGGGCGCTTATGGGTTAAAAATCCATAGTTGTTTAAGAGTTTAAGATCGGTTTGTTCAAATTGAATGAACTTATGATGTTTGTTCTTCTATTTGAACGTTTCGAATTAAATTTGTAACTACAATTGCAATTCATCAGTCTTTGATAAAACCAAACAAATTAAAAAAAAAAAAAGGGAGCACTAGTTATTTGCAATATAGCGAGGAGTAATATGATATTACAGCGAAATTTATTTTTCTCGTGATTTATGCGTAATTTCAAATAACAAATGACTCGTAATATTATCGATAAAAATTCGATCAGACCAAAGATAGAAGCCTATTTAATATGAAAAAAATAATTTGAGATATAATCTTTTCATATTTTCCTATATGATCGTATGTAAGTTTATCAGGCCTGTATTCACTAAATGTAAAGAAATAAAGAATTAATGGACATTTTTTTAGAAAGATAGAACAATAACAAATGTTTATGAATAATTTATGAATAACTGTATCAATTAATTTATTAAAGTGCACAATATGAATTGTAGTAAAAAAATTATTTTGATTAGAATAGTATAGAAAGATATAATATACAATAACTTTGGCCTTTGTTATTTTTTATTAGGATCAATAACCAGTTTCCCACTTTTTTAAAATATTAATTGTGAATACATGCCTTGTGCAAACACATGTACAATTGAACGAAGTAACAGATAATGCTCTCCTTTATAAGTATATTTATCATTGAAACCATACATATATATGATAAATGTGAATATTTATACAAATATGGATATAATGTCAAATAAAATTGTTACGATTGTAGGATGAGAGCGATAATTTGTTTTTCAGTACCTGTTCATAATAATAGATCACTTTTCTATTTTAAAAGAAACTCAAAAAGAAATAATATAAAAAATAATATAAAACATAATGTAATCGAATTTTTCTTACAATCGTATCAATAACAGAAAGTGCGCTTTGTACATGGCTTGTTTAAGTTAGATACTCGTATACTTCTGTAACATTTTTTATAAAAGTGTGTACATGTTGCAATGCACTTGAAAGAAAAACGATGGATTTGTTAATTTAATACATTCGATAATGATTGACAAAAATCATGTAAATATATATACTGAATTATACGATGTTTTTTAATTTTAATACCTTATTTAATATCTTAACAAATGGTGATATAAAATTAAATTTAAAAAAAAAACTTCATTACAATTTAAAAAAAATCTGGAATTAAGCTAGTTATTTTTAATTGTTAATATTTATTACTATATTTGGGGGATAATTTAAAATCATTAAGTACTTCACATAATAAACGTTTTTACTATTATCGTGTATTAATATAATAAAATAAATGAATACGAAGGGAATAAATTAATTAAATTAAGAGATAATAATATGAACAATAAAATAAAAATTACATATTTTTGTATCATTTTGCAGTTATATTTGCAAAGAGGATGCAAAGATTGCTGAAATAGCTGCGCATTGAGTGAATGCGCAAGTCACGTGACCTCCTTTGTGAGCAGTTGGCGCTGTCGACAGTGTAGCTTACCTCCCCTTCGGTTAGTGGCCAGCAAGCCTTGGCTGCGAGAAGACGTGTGTTTAGTTCGTACCGCGACGATCTCTTTATCGCGGCTACGCGAGAGACTCCTTTTTCTCTTTCTCTCCCTCTCTCGCTTGTGTGTGCGCGCGCGCGTGTTTCGTGTTGTGTGTGCGTGCTTGATCTGTACGAGAAGTGGCAGTGTTTCTGGCTTGCACGTAGGACCCGGACAGTGAGGAATCATTCGTCATTTGCAAACTGCCGAATAAATTCGGCTTCATAGCCGGATTCGCTGTGGTCATCGAGAACTTGACTGAATCTTTCAGTGTTCTCTCATTTCTTTCTCTGTTTCGCGCTACTGTGTTTCTTACGGACAAGCACCGCCCCCTTTCCACCTCCGTCCCTCTGATCGTAACGTTATGAGGCCAGCTGAGCGTAACTGACGGAGAAGAGGGAGAACGGCTTGCGTGCGTGTGTCAAACATAACCTAACATTGTACCGTGATGTAGTAAGAGTAAACCGAAAAAACGTGGTACATTTAATTTCAACACTCCTGCATTTGTGACATTCACGCATTCGAGTGTTCTTCTCGTCTAGAAATCATATTCAGTATTAAAGAATTCGAGGGAATCTCGAAAGTATTTGCATTCTTCAGAATAGAAACGGCCGACACGTAACGCCCTGTTTACCACCAACTTTGCTAAAGAAACATACACGAAGATATCGATTCTGCTCCTTTTCTGAAGGTTACTCATCGCATGTTATCGTTTTTGCTGTAGTCGCGATAAAAGGACGCGACCAGCCGCTGCGTGGTGTCACGAGTTCCCCTTTACCCCTCGTGTCCGGCAAGCTTGAGCCCTTCCTGTCGTTCTTCAAGAGCGCGCGACGTTCGAAACTAAAGTACGCCATTTAAAGGAGAACGCAACTGATCGTTTTTTTCCACGAGTCGTTGATTTTTCTATCGTGATCAACGTTTAACTTGATCGTGACAACAAAAATTGCGCGATGGAATTGAGAGCAATATCAAAATTTATTGACTTCTAAGAAAACGACAAGCTTTCTTTTGATAGTGTATCCATTTGTCAACCAATCGTTCCAATAACAGTGATTTTGCAAAGATTTAATCCGATTTAATCCGACAAAAACGTCATTTCAATTCAAACGAATGCTCTCATCGATATCGTAGTGAAACGAGAAAAAGAGGAAAAACAACTTCGACGAGTTGTGTCAGTGTCACGTGTGTGTCTTGCCAAGACAATAACGAGATTTAGAAAAAGAAGTGTTTCTTTAGAAAGGTGAAAGAGTGAGCGGGAAAAATAGAAACGGGCGAAAGGATCGACGAACAGAGGCGTGTCCCTGGTTCCCTGAAGCAGCAGGGGCCTTGGCGGTGGCGGTGGCGGTGAATCGGGAAAGGGTTGAGGAGGGTGGCCCGTAGGGAGAGAGGAGAGTTTTGATGGCAGTAGTTGGGCCCAGCCGACACTCGCGAGTGTCCATGAGCGTGTCTATGTCGCTAATGCAGGGGGGTGGGGCGGGGGCGACAGGCGGTGGCGGGACAACGGGGGCCCACCCGGGACAAGCGGTCCTCGCGGCGGCGGCCCAGGCACCCCCCACCTACTACCACCCTACCGCTCCTGCGCCCCCGCCACCGCCGCCAGCCCAGGATCTCGTTCAGCCCGACAGACCCATCGGATATGGTGCCTTCGGCGTCGTCTGGTGAGTTAATTATACAACTTTTTTTTTAATGTTATGCTTCCTTTATTTATCTCTAACATTTTTTGCGTCCGGGCAAATCGTAAGAAATTGTTACCCCAAAAAAAACCATACCATTTAACGTATTATATACATGGTAATCTTGTTACCATATCTTTTCAAATTTTTATTTCAAATACAAAATTAATTATTTATATATAACGGAATATTTGAACAACCGAAATATGAATTTCGTATTCAATTTTATTTTCCACGTCCACATACTTAATATTAAAAAAGAATTAATTCAAGTTGAAAATTTGTCTGCGAATTTTACCGTATACCAATTCGTGCACACCATGTTGGAGCAATATGTAATTAAACTTAAAGTTTGGAATGAGCATTTGGGTACGCCTTTATGCTCGACAAATTTTCTAAACATTTTAATCTCGAGAAATGAATGTTCGACTAATTAGCGCCACTTTCCACGTTCGCGTCGAAGAGCTCTCCGGAAACACCAGAAAGTAAATGCACTTTCTTTCTTAGCGTGCATATAAATCGTTGCCTTCCGGTCCTGAATAATTTGTGAGTTCGATAAGCAGCAGTGTAAATCTCTTTTCTTTATTCTCCTCCTTTTTCGTCCATCCACAATTTTGCAATTTTTTATCGTGCATCTAAATTTTATATGTCGGCAATTTCTTGCAAACGTGATGCGAATGGAATGACGTATCGTCACTGAACTCGTTCGTTTGATTTATCTTCTTTTAAACGACACGTGGCGTCTCATTAAATTTTATTTCCGAACATATCTATTAGTTGTATCTGTAGCTTCTTCACGTTTCCATGAGCCGTACTCGTCACTGGCCATGTTATCGATAATCCCCGCCTTTCGATATTCGACAAATTGCCTTGGAATTCGATTTCGGGAAATTTTACAGCGCTGCACGTGTAGAATTATGAATATATCGTTTCAGCTCATTAATTCCTGACTGGTTATCGATACTAGGAAAAATTCAATTCGTACCGATTGGAATTATAGGCATTTCAAATTTTTATTTGCTCGCATGTTTTATATTTCAGATGAGATGAATTTAAATTTAAATATATGAATTCGTTACGATGAATCATAGAATTTTTTTGATAAATGTTTTTTTTTTTTTTCGAAGAACAATGAAAAATGAGTTTGTTGATAAATATATTGGACAGGGTGTTAATTTATCTTACGATACGGAGCGCCACTTCGACTTATTTTCTTTTAATCAACACGCGGTCAGCATTGGTTTGAGTAAGCGTGTGTTTCGGCGCGGTTAATTCTTCGGCAAATAATGGCAGCACTGGAGTCTCTGTTTACGCGCGAAGAGTTTGCTTTCCGCTGTCAAGGGTATCCGTTGGTAACACAGTGCCCTGAACGTTTTAATAAACGCGCAATTATCCTCGCGCCCCGATTTTTCTTATAAATCTATTTATAAATCAGGAAGAAACTATTCGCCTCGAATATACGTTGAAATTATTGTCGTTAGTAAATGGATTTTTTAAACGAGTTTAGATTCAATTACTATTTGCTTCAAGTGTGTGCACTTGTTCGCCTTGAATCGTAAATGGTTCTATTTCTAAATAAGCAAACTTGGATTCGACGAATATTTGTGAGAAAAACATTTCTCGCGTCGATGATAATGTCTAGGAGAGGGAGAGGGGAGAGAGAGATTTGTTATAATTTTTATTTACAAAAGGAGAGAAGTTGATTTCATCACCAAGGATACGTGACAACAATTGGAAAAATTATATATATATAACGCGAACGTGCGTTATTCATTTTGTGCCATCGCGTTCTTCGTTTGTCAGGGAAAGGGAGAAAAATACGTTTGAAATACACGACGGTCGGTAACAACGCGTCGGATGGAGCTTGATTTCTTTGTTTACCGATAAGAGGCGTGCAAACAGGAAGTGCGCCAGTTATTCGAGGGTTCGCGTGTCTCGCGTGTAAATGCTACACGGTTTGGCGTAAATCACCGATTTTCAATAGCGGGCACAATAACAGCGGGCTTGATAAAATAGAGGAATTGTGAGAAATTACGGGTTCACCGGGGACATGCGATAAATTACTCACGCTACGCTAAACAAAATAAAGTTAACCGGAGTTGTAAGATAAAATCCAGGATTACCTGGGTTAAAATATCGTGGACAAGTCGGACGTGTCGTCATTTACATACGGGGATATAAAGTGACACAGAGGTTCGCCTGAAATCGTTTCTGGCCTTTCGTGCATTCAGGTATTGTCCCGAAAATTCCCTAAACCGGAGTATGTTCATTTAAAAAGCGCTCGGTCAGGAAATATTTTCCGTGCTGCCTTTTGTCGAGCAGAAAAATGAACAAGAGGGATTAGATATAGTAGAAACTTCCTTTGTTTTCTCTTTCACGAGTATACATGACTGGTGATGAAACACGGAATTTCCTGGGGGAAGGGGAAGGGTCGTTCGAACGTAGAACGTGAAAAGGAATAAAATGTAATTTAAAAACTAGAGGTAATAATTTTGGCATGACCCACGGTCAGTATAATTACCGTTAGTTCGGTTAAGCCGGATATACCATGGATTTTGTTATTGTATTTGGTTTATTGTCATTTTGTGAATACTTTCTCGGTGTTGTAAAATCCCCGGCATTTTCAGTTTTATGGTCGATATTTACAAGCTCACGAATTGGTATAGCGTATTCTTAATATCCGTTACTGGTTCAATGAAATAATAAGTTCCATTTAAATAAACGTTGTAAATACTTCTTCGTTGAAGATGAATTTTGATAACCTCGAAAGTTTACTTGCTTAAAAGAGGTTAAATTTCTTGTTATTTCCATTATATTTATTGTCGTCTTTCATCATTTCTATGCTTGGAAATAAATCGAGTGTCATTTTTTTTTTTTTTTTTTTAATAAATCCAACTGCCACCAATAATTCTTTATTTATCTCCCTCTTTATTTAAACTTTAAATTTAACTCACCGATAGATGAGAAAAACGGTGTATCGGATCCGTTAATATCGATTTGTTTCGTCGATAACCGAGCGATCAATTGCTCGTTAAATGCAGCTGATGCTGCCTTTGAATTCAAATATCGTTTTGTATGTGACAAAACACTGCCGCACAAATAAAGTATTCGAAATTTTTTGTAAATTTAAATTCAACCGTTTTCTATTTTTGAAACTTTATTCGTTAAAAATAACAAATCAAGATTATATCTATTGCTGGCAATTTTTTTTTTTTTTAATTTTACGCACAAACAGAAAAGTTTATATATTCGATTCTGACAAATTTTATATTTTTCAAAAGAAAATTCATTTAAAGATATTTCGTTACACCCTTATGGGGTATAATAATCGTTTAGAAACTCGGAGAATTTTGCGAAGAAAGCGCGGGAAATTTATACAACGCGTCAGCAGTTTTCAAAGGGATAGAAGCATCCGTGGTGGGGGTGGAATAGAACGGGGCAGAAGATCACCATGACGACCGCGGCATTCCGAGATAAGGAGAAATCGTGACCAGATTGCGTATAGGAGCTTGCATGTTTAAACGAAGAATGCTTATATACGAGCACGATGATACACGTTGCATAATATATTCGAATTTTAAATGACAAACGTATGTCGTGACGTTGAAATCAAAAGATGATGCGCACTATCCGCTTCAACGATCTTAATTCACATTTAAACTTTTATAAAAAGTATCTCCATCTTCCAATAAGCATATCCTCGATTTTAAAACAATCTACATTTTTCGTTCTTTCCACATTAACCAGATAATTTTGTTCCTATAATCAATTTACACGTTTCGTTTTCGTTACAAAATTCTCTACCAACTATTTTTCGAACACGATGAGAAGACAAATAATCCTTCGACAAAGGATTAATTAAATCTTTGCTTATTCTTCTTTCCACCCTCATCACCTGCAAACATTATTTCTCTCGTTTTCATTTAATTCTCTCTCTTTCTCGAGAGACAGAGAGAAAGAAAAAAAAATTGTCAATCTCTCACCCTTTCAATCGTCGTTTGAAGCTGTTTCCCCGACATCCTTTGAAAAAAAAAACGAACAGTGGAGGGGGAGGGGAAAAAAAAGAAAGCAAAGCAAGAAAATACATATTCCTCTTTCAATATCAGCTATCGACGGGCACAATCGTGCAAGTGTAATCGACGACAATAGCCTGGGACCGGAAGCAGCCGGCATCGAGTAACCGCATTTAAATGACAAAGACGGTGTTTATTCGGAAAACGGGCTATTAATGTCGGCGCACAGCGAGGAGGAGGGGTCGGGCATCCACAGGGAAAAATGTGAAAGCCACATTTTCACCTATTGTCGCGCGACCGCCTTTTAGCCTTGCGTGCGCGCTCGCCGAGGATAAGTGTTATTCGGATTTTATTCGCGTCCGTGTTTCCGTTGCTACATTGCGGGCTTCCCAACCTGGACTTTTCAGGGTCGTACGCGAAGGATTATTATTTCTGTGAATCGTGCGCACAGCCTGTATGTGTATATACGTATATAAAACGCGATATGTTTTCATGAAAGGTTCGATAAGGAAGAGCATTGTCGCATTGTTGCATCGTTCTTTCGCGGTTCTTTATTGGTATGTGTTCGCGTTCGTGTCGCGTTCATTCTCGATCGTTTCGCCATAGGCGACTGTCTCGATCTCGTTAGTCGTCGTCGCGATTGTATTAATCCTTTGGTTTCTTTATTCCTCGCATCGTTCGTCCTCTTTTCTCCTTTTTTTTTTTTTTTTTTTTTTTTTTTTTTAATATGTTTCCTCTTTCTCGAGATAAAATTGGCGAGTAACTTGGACTCCTCTCCTTTACATTATCCGTTTAGAGGGATTACAAGCGTGAATTAAATTGTTGAACGGCAGGAAATACTTTTGAACGTTCTTTGTGACATACCGCTTGTATCGGGCATTATTCATGAACGTTTTAAGAGTCTAAACGAGTGTTTCCTGTCTGTTGTATTTAATTACATATCGCAATGTGTACGTATGTATATATATTTTT